AGTGTTAGGATGGCTTCCTCACTCCAGAGGGTATTACAAAGGGCCCCCCACCCCTTTCAAAGCCATAGGGAACCAGGCAGCCAGCACCGCTCCAGCCAGCAGGTTGTTGAGGGTTCTGGCTTGACTCCCGCAGAGAGCCCAGCAATTTGTTCCCCTCGCCTTTCTGATTTCTGATTGCAGCCGTGAGTAGCCTGAAGTCAGTTGTTGATGAGGACATCATTCTACCTTGCCTCGTGCCAGCTTCCTCCAGCCCAGGATATTGATCAACCCCTGATAATACAGCCCCCTCGACATGGTGCAGACAGGTGATGGCTGAGGCTGGTCCACGCTGACCCAGCCCCGGGCACGCTGGTCCCCACACCACAAAATGAGTCATTTGCTGCCAGCCTTTCCCTGTTCCCTCTGCCCCTTGTGAAGTGAATGCAAATGTCACCCTTGGGATCCTATCATTGTAGGATTTTTATTTATTTATTTATTTTGTTGAAATACCATAAAGGAAAGGACATTTGTCCTTTCTCCTTTTTAAATTGCTTTCCACGGGTTAGGGAGACCTGGCTATCGATTTTCTTCTGGAGATCACAGCAAGCCCTGTGAAGATTTTGGCTAATTAATTTTTAGAGAAGTGCTGCTTAAATTTATCAAGGAGGTTGAAGTCTCTCTTCTCCTCTCATATCTTGAAAAAGGCCTTAAACATTGGTTTCCGAATCTCTGCCCATACCCAGTCTGTTTCAAAGTGTCTTCCCTGGAGACAGTGGTAGAGGGGCTGTTGGAGTGATGGTTTTGCAGCTTCAGTCTCTGATACAGTGGTTCCTGTCTGCAGAAAGTCTTTTCTATTTACTTAAGAGAGGTATTATTCACAGAAAGATTACATTTAAAAATATACATTTCCCTCCAAGCATGCCTGTTGCTAATAACACTGCCTTATGAAAGTGGAAAGTATTTATGATGAAATTACTTTTTGTCTGGTGTGCCACTTTGTTTGACTTTCTTGTTCCATTTGGTATGGGTCACCAACGTTGGCCAACCTCACTTTACATTTTTAGCAAGTTCCCTTTCTTCTTCTTGTCTGGATTGAAGTTGTGAGAAGTGAGTGACTAACGTATTAGGAACGGTCGAATTTGAAATCCTACTGTAGATTTCTTTCATATTGGTCCAGAAATTTGTTTTGAAAACAGAAACCCTGCTCCCTAGATGAATCTTAGTGTATGATTTCTTTTCTTTCTTTTTCTTTTTCTTTTTTTAAATCTCTCCCTTCCTCCTCCTCCTTCTTCTGGCTTAGTCTTGTGTTTTCATTTTTTTTTTTTTTCCCACTAGACTTCTAGGGTTAGGGGGCCAGCAGTAAAATGCAATGCTCTTTGAGGCTTACCTGAATACCCAGGCTCATGTGCCAGTGATCTGGGACTGGCGGAGGTTGGGGTGGATCACAACATCGAATCCCTGTTGGGGTGTGGTCTCTCTGTCTTTGTCTCTTCCTTTCTCTCTCTCACTCATGGAAGAAACACATACATTAATGGAAGAAAAGAATGTCGGGTGTTGGAAGAGTTAGCATCCTTTTTGGTGGTCTGTCAAAAGGTTGTGGGAACCAGGTTGCCGTTTTTGCACTGGACAGCTTTGTCTTGTGTGTTCTCATCTGTTCTTATCAAGGTGGCATGGCCGGCATGGCTGGTCACTGCTTCCTGGAGGAGAGTCAAAACACTCAGAACACCCTGGACAGGCCATGTGTGTGTGTGTGTGTGTGTGTGTGCCATAGAGTGTGTGCATTCACCAGAGAGAGAGACAGAGAGAGAGGAAGAGTGAGAAATCACCCCTCAAAGGAGATGGCTATGCAGTTCCTTCTCTTCCATTCTCCTCTCAGGATTTCAGGCACATATGCATAAGTGCTTGGCATAGTTTTCAAACCACAGGGCCCAGGACTTGATCCACAGAGTTGGCCATGTGAGATCTAGTACCTTAACTACTATTCCACCGTCTGGCTCCCAGACTGTGTTATCTTGGCCTGGCTGACCTGTCCATCAAAGTTCTGTCCCATTGAACTATATTGCCTCAGTAGAAGGCGGCATTGAAGCTGGTGTGACACAGACAAACACTTCGTGGAAAATGGTTCTCTACTTTTTATCAATCTCATGATCCTTGTTACCAACTTTGATTACATCAGCTTATGTGCCATTCCATTTTATAGCATTTTAATGGGCTTTCCTCTCCCTTCCCCAATTCATTTCCAGCTGTGTGACTATTATAATTTGATTACAGTTTGGTTTTGAAACTGCCAGGATACCTTTTGAGCATGTTATGCCTTCCTTGTGAGTGTGAGACTATTCAGAGGTGAAAAAGGAGAAAAGTTTTTTTTCTCCCCCCAGACATTTGTCAACAAGTACAGTTGTCCCTTGGTATTCATAGGGAATTGGTTGCAAGATCCCCTTGAATACCAAGATCCTCAGCTGTGCAAGTTCCTTATATAAAATGCTGTAGTATTTGTATGGAATCTTTGCACACCCCCTGGTATACTTCACATCATCTCTAAATCACTTGTAATACCAAGTACATTGTAAATACTGTGTAAATAGTTGTTATACTATATTATTAAGGAAATAATGACAAGAAAACGTCTGTATATATTCAGGACAGACACAACCATGGTAGGCCTAACGACATGGTATATCAGCAACAGTGGAGCATCCTCCTGTCCCCTGCCTCATGAGATGAATCTGTAGATGTTGGACTTACAGATATGGAGGACTGACTAATTTCTGAACTATGCCTCAGAAGCTTTCATGGTCTCATAATTAGATGTTTACTTTAAACTCTTCTGTCAATCTGACCTATTGGCTTTTTAAACATATTATAGAAAAGCTCATTTAAAACTTCAATATCTAAAAGATGTTAGTGAGGATGTAGAATGACTGAAACCTTTATATACCCACTGGTCAGAATGTAAGAACATCATGAAAAACAATATGGCTATTTTTCAGAAAAAAAAAAAAAAAAGAAAAAAAAATTATAATATGGCTCAGCAATTCTACTAGGGATATATCCAAAATAATTGAAAGCAGGTCTCAAAGAACTATCTGTACACTCATGTTCATAACCACATTATTCACAATAGTTAAATTATGGAAGCAACCCACGTATGCATTGACAGATGAATGGATAAGCAAAATGTGATATATATACACAACGAAATATTATTTAGCCTTAAAAAGTAAGGAAATCTGGGACTAGCTGACAGTGAATTGGTTATGTCGCTGGACTCCCACATGGCCAACTAGGTAAGAGTCCTGGACCTGGTGGCTTAAACCTCATGCTGGGCATGTGTGTGCATGCCTGAAATCCCAAGAGGAGAATGAAGGAAAAGAGACTGTGGAATGGCCATATCCCCCAGGGGGTGATTTCTTGCTTTCTATTTCTTTTTGTCTCTCCTGCAAGTGCATGCACTCTGTAACAAAATCTCTTAAAAAAAGGGAATCTTGACTCTTGCTACCACATGAATAAACCTTGGGGACATATTCTAGGTGAAATAAACTGGTCACAGAAAGACAAATACTATATGATTCCACTATATATACTCAAATATTATATGAGCTGTTTAGACAGTCAAAATCACAGAGACAGAAAGTGGAATGGTGATTGTCAGGGCTTGGCCAGAGTGGGGAGTTACTATTTAATGGATGTAGAGTTTCAGTTTTGCAAGATGAAAAGAGTTTGGAAATGATGGTAGTGATGGTTGCACAACTGAATGAACTTAATACCACTGAAAATGTTTAAGATGATAAAATTTCAAAAATGCTATATGCGGGATCAGCAGGTCTCGTAGTAGCTAGGGCTCTGGACTCCCACATGACTAACTATGGTTCAAGTCCTGGACCTGGAGGCTTGCTTTCTCACTTTCTCTCTCTCTTTCTACCTCTCTGGTGAGTGTGCATGGCCTATAGCAAATTGAAAAAATTAAATAAATAAAATTAAATAATTAAAAGAAGTTATATGTATTTTGCCACGATTAAAAAAGTTTTTGTGCTTTACATTTTATCAATTATATCATTATTTTATTTTAATCTTTGAAAAGGACACCATCTTAAAATCAGTTGTATACCACATGTTCAAGGATACCAAAGATTCAGGAACATAAAATTGACTTAATGAAATCACCACTCCAGCAAACTAGAAAGGTCTTTCTATTTGTGTTTGAAGCTCCAAGTATTGAATTATTTTGAGTTCACAATTCAAGTATTATTGCTTTTAATTCTTCCTTTATTTTCCAGCAGTTATTTTTCTTCTTCTCTTTTTAAGAATCTATTTATTTCTTAGAGAAAGAAACAAGACCATTAGCTAGATTCCATGTCACAATCCCTCTCAGCCTTCCCAGCCAGCCTGCTCTGCTTGTGTACTTGAAAATCAAACCCATATTCTCCCACATGGATCTGGTCTAGCTTGAGCAGCAAGCTGGTCCTAGTTTTCCTTAAATATGTGGTTTAAAAACATTAGTGCTGGGGCCAGCAGGTGGCGTAGTGGTTAAGGAGCTGGATTCTCATATGGCCAACCATGATTTGAGTCCTGGATCGGATGGCTTGAAACTCATACTAGGCAAGTGTGCGATTCTCCCCAAAATCCCAAGAGGAGAATGGAGGAGAAGGGACTGTGGCATGGCCAACCTCTGAGGGGTGATTTCTCGCTTTCTGTCTCTCTGTTTCTCTCTGTTTCTCCAGTGAGTGCATTGCCCCTTATCGCAAAAATCTCTAAAAAATAAAAAAATTAGTGCTTACCCTTCTTCACCTCCTTTCCGCTACAATAGCTCTACTTTCAGGAATGTTTCCCCAGTCCTTTTTGTCTTTGTTTATATGGAGTATTCATCTTCTGTTATAATAGGAATTTGGTCGTCTTTGTTGGTGGTTTGAGTTCTTATATTATAGAATGCCTTTGCTGGTGACCTCTGAGAGAACAAAGAGAGGCTAACGGGGATTGTTGTTAACAGGCAGGTTCTAGAAGCTTCATGTCTTCCTGGAGCTCATGCAGAAGGCTGTTCCAGAGCTACCTCCATTCTGGAGTGGGACTTAATGCTTCCTAGAACACGGACATATCTCTCTTACAGGTGGTTTGTTCTTGGGACCCTAGGTTCTTTGTTTAAGAAGTTTCTAAGGATCTGGTGGACTTGGGATTGGAAATAGAACCTGGTTGGGACCTGACACTTGAGTTTCCTTCTGCCTCTTTAGAAAGGCTCTTAGAACCCATTGCCTCAGTCTTCATGTCACTGGGGACAGCCTGCCAGGGTCTTTACCCCTGGTGTGAGAGTTCTTGGCTTCATGTAGGGAAGAATTCAAGCATGAGCCTTTGTAGGAGAGTGAACAGATTTATTCAGGAAAGTATGTCAAATGACTACTCCATAAGTGGAGCAACCCCATAAGAGGAAATGGGTGAACAGTTTCATTCCTTCCTTTGAGAGGAAGGGGAGAACTCTCATTCAATAGGAAAGAGGAAGGCTACTCCATAGGCAGGGCAGCCTCGAGCTTGGGAGGATGTCTGGCTTATATGTCTTGGCTTCATGCCAGGCCAAGTAAGGGACTGGTTATTCATGACTTTCCCAGGATAGGGGCTGTGATTTTCCTGGAACCATTGTCCTTCTCATTTTCTGGCCTTATCAGGGCAGTTCCAGTTGTTGTCATGGTTATTCCAAACTGTCATGGCTCAAGGAGGAGTGTCATCTAACATGCTAATACAGTGCACTGAGGGTTTAATGAATCTGAAGGTTAGGCAGTGCTTGTTCCTGGTGCCATCTGGGTTCCAAGTGGTTCAGATCTAGTCTCTCAGGACTTCTTGCCTGTCAGGTTTTATTGTAGGTGTTTGGAATGTCCCTTACCCAGTATGGAATGTCCCTCACTTCAGTCCCTTCCTGTCTCTTTCATGACTGCAAAATCTACCCAGGGAGGTGGGTAGCAACATCAGTTTCCCTGTGGGTGTGTTCAGTTTTCCCTGGGCCTCACCCCTTCACTCTGTCTCCTGGCAGGCTCGGGGACCAGTTCTACAAGGAAGCCATTGAGCACTGCAGGAGTTATAACTCCCGGCTGTGTGCAGAGCGCAGCGTGCGTCTCCCCTTTCTGGACTCTCAGACCGGGGTGGCTCAGAACAACTGCTACATCTGGATGGAGAAGAGGCACCGAGGCCCAGGTGAGCCCGCCACTCCTGGGATGTGCCCATGTGAAGGCTACCAATCTGGAGGGGGGGAGGACCAGAACTGGTCTCAGAATCTGAGACAAGGGACAAGTGACATGTGGTTCTCTGAGAGCCTTTTAAGAAATTAACCACTTTTACAGTTCTTGGCAGGTGTTCCAAGGAAGGCAGCAAGGATGGTCTGAGGCTTTGAAGCCACATGACTGGGGCAGGTAGAAGGGGAAAGAACTTAAGATTTTTTTTTTTGAGAGATTTTTGCTATAGGGTGTGTGCAATCTCCAGAGAGACAGAGAGAGACTGAAAAACAGAAAGCAAGAAATCACACCCCCCAACCCTCCAGGGAAGATGGCCATTCTGTAATCCCTCTCCTCCATTCTCCTCTTGGGATTTTGGGCACACACACATGCCCTGCGTGAGTTTTAAGCCACTGGGTCTGGGACTTGAACGATGGGAGTCCAGCAACATAACCATTATACCAACTGCTGTTTCCAAGAACTTAAGATATTTATCCCAAAGAAAGCAAGACTTAGGTATGACAATACTTTTCATTGTTTACTTTTGGGTGTTGGTTACAACTGCTGTCAGATCTAGGTTTGAGGTTTAGCTTTGTCACCAAACCTCTGTACTTCGGGTTTCTCACCTGTAAAACACAGGTAGTGATAGTACTTACTGCACAGGGTTTTTTCAGGATTAATTGAAATTATTCATATAAAGTTCCTAACTTGGGTTCAGCACATGTATGTGCTAAAAAATGTGCTATTAGTTAATCTTGGACTATATGTTTCAAAATGCTGGTAATTATTGTTGATATTACTATCATAATGTTATTACTACGACACTAGTCTTCTAGGTTTCAGAGAACAGTATAAGGACCAGCGGGTGCAAATTAGGGAGGCAACTACCATCATGCAGTTTTCTGGCACTCTCTCTCTCTCACTATATATATATATATATATATATATAGTGCATATATACATATTATATATACACACACACATATATATAGTATACATGTATGTACATATACATATATATACACACACACTATATATATATATTGTTTTTTAAAAGAGATTTTTGCTATAGGGTACGTGCACTCGCCAGAGAGCCAGAGAGATAGAAAGCAAAAAATTACCCCCTAGAGGGATGGACATGCTGCAATCCCTTCTTCTCTATTCCTCTGTTAGGATTTTGGGCACACACACACACACATGTGCCTGGTGTGAGTTTTAAGTAGCCAGATCTAGGACTTGAACTGTAGTAGATTATGTGAGTGTCCAGCAACGTAACCATTATGCCATCTGCTGGTCCCCTGGCTCTATATATTGAAGAAATCTTTTTATTTAAAAAAAAAAATTCAACCCCATACAAAAATGGAGAAAATAATAAAATGAATTTTCATGTATCCCAGCCTCTGGTGATCAATTCATGACTAATTTTGTTTCATTAATACTTGTCCCTCACTTTCTTTCTGACCTCCTGCTATTTTGAACCAAATTCAAGATAGCATATTATTTCATCTGTAAACATTTTGTTACTTATCTCTAAATGGTAAGAACTAAAGAAATATACAAACCCACAATTGCTATCAGAGCTCAAAGAATTAATAATATTCTTTAATATCATCGAGTATTTGGTCAGCATTCATTTTCCTCCTATGGTTTAAATCAGAATCCAAATAAGATCTCTACATTGCAACTGGTTTTTTTTTTTTTTTTTTTTTTTTTAGAGGGCATGTGTGCTCTCCAGAGAACAAAAGAGGAAGAGAGAGAAAGCACCCTCTAATGGGACATGGTCTTGCCACAATAACTTCTTCATTTCTCTGTCCTGTTGAGATTTTGGGTACACAACCACATGTGCCCAGTGGTTTTTTTCTTTTTTTTTTTTTTGAGAGGTTTTTTCGCTATAGGGCACGTGCGCTCGCCAGACAGACAGAGAGAGACATAGAGACAGAAAGCGAGAAATCACCCCCCAGGGGGGATGGTCATGCTGCAATCCCTTCTCCTCCATTCTCCTCTCAGGTTCTTGGGCACGCACACACACGCGCCCGGCGTGAGTTTTAAACCACTGGGTCCGGGACGCGAACCACAGTCGACTATGTGGGAGTCCAGCGACATAGCCATTACGTTAACTGCTGGTTCCCTGCCCAGTGGTTTTTTAAGCCACAGGAGCAGAGATTTGAACTGCACGTTAGGCCATGTGGGGTCTAGCTTCCTTAACCACCAGGCCACTGGGCTGATCGAACATATTTTAAGTCTCTTAAAATCTGTAGCTTTGGAAACAGCAGATGGCGTAATGGTTACATCACTGGACTCCCATGTAGTCAACTACAGTTTGAGTCCTGGACTCTGAGGCTTAAAACTCAAGTCGGGGACATGTGTATGCATGCCCAAAATCCTGAGAGGAGAATGGAGAAGGGATTGTGGTGTGACCATCGCCCCTGGGGGGTGATTTCTCACTTTCTGTCTCTCTGTTTCTCCAGCATATGCATGTGCCCTATAGCAAAAACCTCTCTTTAAAAATGTGACATTTGCTTTGAAGCTATCATTACCTTTTCATTTATTAGCTCTACAACTTCTATCAAGAAAAATATACCCTTGTTAAAGTTTTGGCTATTATGTAATATGGTTCACATGAAAGGCAGAATAAATTTTTTTCCCTTTATTTGCCAGTTTTTAAAATAATGAGTTGGTTCCCTCATATTCTCCTTTTTTGATCAATAAAGTTATTTTTAAAAATATTATCAGAATCTCACGTATTAAACATATTAAATGTCTTTTACTCCCTTGCAATTGATATTCTTTTTTTTTTTTTTTTTTTTTGCTATAGGGATTCTTTTCTTGGGATTTTGGGTACACATGCACATGAGCCCAGTGTTTTTTTCAAGTTATTGGGTCCAGGCCTCAAACTGTGAAGCTGGTCATATGGGATCTAGGACCTTAACCACCACATCACCTGCTGACCCTCTTTTTCTTTTTTAAAGGGAAAATACATTATGAAATTATATTGCTATTTCCCATTCAATTAAGTTTTAAACAGTTTTTACTTAACTATTACATTTTACATCTCCTTTCTCTCATACTAGAAAAAACCCTGGATATTAGTGATAGTGACACAGTTACTTATTTGTTTTATCCCACACACCATCACAGTATCAGAATAATAGTAGGACTTCCAACAAAAGGTTACTGAAACTGGTTTAAAATTTTTCTTGTTTTGTAATTCTTTTGTCCTTAATATTCCATTAAGGATACAGAGTCCAATTACTCTACTTTAAGGTCACTTGAAATAGTTCATCTGTGTAGTTGTGCTACTAACTCTCTATATAGATGGATTTATTTGTTTCATTTTGCTTTCACTTATCAGGAATTGCTTTATTGAAAAAGGGGTGTATTTTATGTAATTTTAAAATAAACTTTTTATCTTGAAATAATTATATATTTATTAGAAGCTCCAAATCTAATATAAAAAGATGTTCTATTCTGTTAATTTTCCCCAAGATGGACACATATTAAAAAAACCACACGATTGGCCCAGTCCAGGTGGCACAGTCCATAGTGTACTGGACTATCGTGCTAGGAGCCCGTGACTGACTGTGGGTTTGGATCCCTGAGTTGTCCTGAAGACATGCTGGGTACATGGTGGGACCCGAAATCCTGAGGAGTTGAAAGGTTGGGGAAACAGAAAACATAATGAGACCTTGTTGAGGGTGCTTTCTCTCTTCCTCCCTCCCCCCATGACTCATTTTTTTAAAAGAGATTTTTGTCTTAGGGCCCATGTGCTGCTGGGGGGAGAGACAGAGACAATGAGAGGGAAAGTGAGTAATCACCTCCCAGGGAGGATGGCCGTGCCACAATCCCTTCTCCATTCTTCTCCTGGGACTTTGGGCACACACACACATGCCTGGCATGATTTTGAAACCATGGGGTTTGGGACTTAAACTGCAGTCGGTCATCTGGGAGCCCAGCAACATAACTACTATGCCATCTGCAGTTCCTCTCTTGAACTCTTGATGGTTAAAAAAGAAAAAAAAAAAAACCCTCAGAAAATTGACATTGGTAAAATGTGTCTACATAGCTCTGTGCCATTTTATCACAAGTGTAGATTTGTGTAACAACCACCACAGTTGAGATCCAATCTATTCCATCACCGCAAAGATCTCACTCTGTCATCATAACCCACCTTACTCATCATTTAAATTCCTTTATTCTCCCTCACTTATAACATGAGGAGACTTCAAAAAGTTTATTGAAGGGAACCAGCAGTTAGCGTAATGGCTATGTCGATGGACTCCCACGTAGTCGACCGCGGTTCGTGTCCCGGACCCGGTGGCTTAAAACTCACGCCGGGCGCGTGTGCGTGCCCAAGATCCCGAGAGGAGAATGGAGGAGAAGGGACTGCAGCGTGACCATCCCCCCTGGGGGGTGATTTCTCGCTTTCTGTCTCTATGTCTCTCTCTGTCTGTCTGGCGAGCGCACGCGCCCTAAGCGAAAACCTCTCAAAAAAAAAATAGGAAAAAAAAAAAGTTTATCGAAGAATAGAATTAAAGGTTTATCTTAATGCAAAAATTTTCAAAATCTACAGTGTTTTTTTAATGATTCACATTTCCATGAACTTTTTGAAGACCCTCCACATAAGTGTTTTAAACATTTTCTTTCCCTCCAAACATTGAAAACCACACCAGAAAGTTGTCATTTTTGATAATTTTTCTTCAACCATCAAACATAATTTAGAAAACTTAAAAGGAATGTTATTGTATTTACTCAAATTTTTACTTTCATTATTCTTCCTTCCTTCCCAATGTTCTAAGATACCTCATTTTATTATTTCCTTTCTGACAGAGTGCTTTCTTTCTTTCTTTTTTTTCCCCTCCTTGATAACTGAGGTAGATCTCTTTTTTTCTTTCTTCTTCTTTTTTATTTTTATTTTTTACTAGCCATTCTTTCAGAGTAAGTTTGCCAGCGACAACTTCTCTTTGTTTTTCTTATTTTGAGAAT